GCTCTGTGGCTGCCTAGGGCTGGGCGGGAGTAGGATGGACTGGAGTGACTACTTATGGGCACGGGGCTTCTTTTTGGAGTGACAAAATGTTCTAAAATTTGATTGATGTGATGGTTGTACAACTCTACACTGAAAATCATTAAATTCACACATTAAAGGGGTGAATTTAAATGTGGAATCCCACTTTATTCAAGCTGTTAGAGAAAAAACCAACCAAGCAAGCAGGCAGCAGATGGAGTTGGCCTTCGCGCCATAGTTTGTTAACACTTGCTCTAGCATGTTGAGGGAGATATTTACTTTCTCTCTCTTTTGTATTATCAATCATTTAAAGAAGTTATCAGTGATGTCATCGGAAGATCAAGAACAATCAACTTTGGAGACACTGTTGTCCAGTTTCCTCCTTGATGTGCATTTCAGGGCATTTCAAGTTTTCTCAGTCGGAGCTTGACTCCAACACTCTTTGGATTAGCAATGCCCAGGAACAGCTGCTGTGGGTGTCCTCAGCAACATCCTGAGCTTCAGGGTGTCTCTGATGTTGTCAACATTTCATGTCAAATCAGAAAGAGGTTTGAATGTTTTTCCCAGTGTTCATCAGATGCACTCCTCTTCATTAACTGAATTGTCAAATGCACCAAGAGCCTGTTAATTCTTTGACATGTCACTTCCATGTCACTAATGAACGACTGCTTTTGGTTTAATCTGAAACCTTTTTTTGGTTATAATGAACTTTTTGAAGTCAGATTTATTTCTATTGATTTCTTTACTCATTGTATTGCTTTGTTTCATATCCCATTAATTTTTATCAGAATTTTTTCCTTTCTTTAATAAACAAATTTGACAATGACAAGACACTTTTTATATATACATCCAAATCAGAGTCTGTAATGTCTCCCTTATTTTACTGAAACATTCCAAAATGACTTTCAAAATTGCAGCTAAAATGGTGCGTTAAGGCTTTATGCACATTTTGCATCTCATTTTCATTCATGTTCTTTGCAAAATTATTTTAGAGTCCCTCATTTTTTTGTCATTTGTGTTTTGCGAGGCTGGCACAGCTTTTAAACAAGTGGACTATGGTGTTACACTTTGCTTTTCTAAAGAAATATCTACAAGTGGATCTGTGTTTAAAGCATTAGATCTATAAGACAAACCCCAGAAGAAACAAACTACTGCAAATATATAAGTAGCCACAACCTCTGGCACAGTTGAGGCACCTTTTCCTCCAAATATCTGAGGGGAACGGGCTGCACGTGGCACACACTCCGCAGTGACCCAGAGTGGCCCTCTGAGTATTTCTGGAAGCTGCTCTCACACCTGGACAGACACCATAATTTACACATGGTAGACGAAAAGCTACCATGTACCATTGACATGACTGAAAATCATGTCAATAAACCGTGACATAAGCCCAGTCCAATTTCTGTGGCCAAAGCTGCAAAATGCCCGTGGCCACTTCAATGCCAGCCCAAGGGCAAGTAGGAGTGAAAAGAGAAGTGGTCTTCATCTACTGTGGTTACAATATCTCTCTTTTGCAAAATTTATGAAAACGTGATCATGTGAACATGTTGCCCAGCCCCTCCCAGGGCCTCATGAGCTTTGTGGCCTGTCCCCCTCCTCCCCACAGCTGCCGGACGGCACAAGCCCTGTGGCTGGCATCAAGGCCCGCATGACAGGCCGCTACTCGCACTCCAGCTTCTCCGATCCCAGCCCGGTACAGACAGTGCTTCAGCGCTTCAGCCGGGACAACTCTGACAGGCCAGCCCAGCACCAGAGCCCGTGTGGGGCCAGCCCAGCCCTACATGGGGTCACCTGGCAAGGCCTTGCCCTCCCTGCCGGTGGTGGCCTGAGAGCACACCCGGAAAATTCCTGCAATCAGGGCTCTGTGTCGGAGGCCATTTCTGGGGGAGCTGTGCCCCGTGTCCATGTCTGAGGTCCCTGTCACTCCTCCTGGTGGTCCTCTCTCAGGAGAGCCCTGCCCGGGCCCCGCCCTTTGCCCACATCTCTCCTCTTCCTAACAGAGGCCCCTCACCCTTCACGGCTTTCTGGAACGCTCCCAGGCCTGCCCCTGCACCCAGGTGGGCCACGCGGCGACTGCAGAGGCTGCCACTCTGTGGGTCCTCTGCCAGGAGCTCCGCCCCACCAGGCGGGGCGAGCAGGCGCACAGCTGGCAGCTGTGGTCGGGCAGGCCTGGCTCCAGGCTGCCAGGGATCCGGGCTATCTCCTCCCTGGGCCACGGTCACCTCATCTCCCACCACCCAGCTCCCCTCACCCATGGAGGGACGGGGAGAACCACAGAAATGCGGGCTGGTGACCCCTTAGCGAGAGGCGCAAGGTGGGGCTGACAGGCAGGAGGAGGACCAGGCAAGGGAGTGCTCTGGGCTGAATGTCTGTGTCCCCCAGAATTCATGTGGTGAGGCCCTAACCCCCAATGTGACGGTATTAGAAGACAGGGTCTTTGGGAGGTGACTAGGTCATGGCCCTCACGAATGGGATGAGTGTCCTTAGAATTAAAGACACGAGGGAGACGACCTCACTCTCCACCCTGTGAGGCTACCATGAGAAGACGGCAATCTGCAAAGCAGGAAGAGGACCCTCCCCAGAAACCGGCCGCACCGGCGCCCTGGCCTCGGACTTCCAGCCGCCAGAACCGTGAGGAATAAAGTTCTGCTGTTTAAGCCCCCAGTCTGTAGCATTTTGTTAGAGTAGCCTGAGCTGAGACAGAGTCGGGGAGCCGGAGGGGAGAAGCACACCCAGGATGGCCCAGCTGGAGAGTGGGGGCTGGGAGTGGGTGCAGGGGCCAGCCCCACCCCCAGCCGCTTACACGGCGACCTGCTATTTCTCCAGCCTGGCTGTTCTCTCTCCTCCCTTCTCTCCCCGTCCCTTTGGCTCTTCTTGCAGGATGGGGGACAAGGGAATAATTGCTTTCCAGACGTAAAATCACATTGCAATAGTCAGCGGGACTTTGACACGAACAGACCCACACAGCTGGGACTCTGAGAGGCCTCTAGAAGGAGCCCTCCCTCTTCCCTGTCCCGGGCTCCCCTAGCGCACCCCCACAATTGCTGATCCAGGTCAGTTGCAATCTGTGCTCCTCCTGATCCAGGGGAGGCTGAGCGAGCCCATGCTCGGCCCCTCAGTGAGCACAACTCTGCTTTTTAGGGCATAAAATGGCAATTTTATTTACTGGGCTAAATGCACAAAGCATCCTACCACACCCCACAGGAGAAGGGGGCCAATCAGCTGGGGTGTGGGCCAGCCCCCCACTTAGCCCGTCCCCCCGACCCCTCCGTCGTTCCTGCTCCCTGGGCCAGCTCCTGTACAGGGCCCCGTCCCACACCAACTGCCTCCTCTGCTGGGGGTGGGGGCACCGTGCTTGGCTGTGTCACTGCCCGACTCAGCACACCCCGGCCTGCACCCTGCTGCTTCCCCTGAGCTTCCATGCAGGGGGCAGGAGGCCAGCTCTGGCCTCCCTGGCCCTGGTGTGTCCCCAGCTACATCCCACCTTGGGCTGTGAACAGTTCATGAAGTCTGCCGCACTTCTTTCTATTTTATTTTTTAAAAATTTTTTTCTTAAACCTGGCTTAAAGTATAAAGTGGCATTTCTTAAAAATACTGATTCCCAGGTCTTCAAATAAACTCTTATACATGAATGTTCATAGCAGAACTACTCATAATCGTCAAAGGTGGAGACAATCCAAATGGTCATCAATGGGTAAACAGAATGTGTTCTGTCCACACGATGGAATAGCACTCAGCCAACAGAGGAGTGCAGGACTGATGCCCGCTACAACACGGACACACCTTGCAGGCATCGTGCTCTGTGCAAGTCAGCCACAAAAGGTTGCATATTATGTGACCCCATTTATATGAAATTCCAGAATAGGCAACTCCATAGAGACAGAAAGCAGATTAGTGGTTGCTAGGGGAAGGAGAGAGGAGGAGTGGGAGGAGGGATTAATGGGGTTTCCATTTGGGGTGATGAAAAAGTTCTGGAACTAGATAGTGTAGAGGGTTGCACAATATTGTGAATGTATTGAATGCCAATGAATTGTACACTTTAAAGTGGTTAAAATAGTGAATTTTATGTTATGTAGAATTTACCATAATTTAAAAAAAGAAAAAACCCCAAACAATTTTTGAGCCCTACCCCAAACCAAAGTTCTCAGAGGCAGGCCTGGGAGTCTGTATCTTTAAGAAGCTCCACCAGGGACTAAAATTAGACAGCTGGCCCAGTCCCAAGCCAAAGACCCCCATTGAGGAACCAAGGCACAGATGAATGTTGAGGCACCAAAGGCCTGGCATGGGCTGTCCCGGAGCCCACTCCCCATGCCCTGCCCACCCTGCACTGAGCAGTGTGGCCTCAGTAGGGTGGAGCTTTCTGGGCTGAGAGCTAGGCTCAGGCTCATCTGCATATGCCAGCCCCCTAGCAAGTGATTGGCTGAGGAGTGGGCATGTGATTTCATCTGAACCAATAAGAATCAGGCCTGGGGTTTTCGGGGCACTGAGAGAGAAGAAGGAGCCCTTCTTTCTGTGGGGTCTCCAGAGTGGGAAGTGAGCCTGGGGCAGCCATTGAGGGACCTCAGGGGACAAGCCCACCTATCCAACAAGGGATAAGCACTGAGGCCCTGGCAATGGAGAGGCCAAGCCTCAGGCTGGGCCTGGCCCAAGGGCCACCAAACCCCAATGCTGGCCTCAAGGTGGGTGACCCACAGTCACTCACGTTGCACAGGACATGACAGAAGGCTGCCAGGACCCCAGAAACTGCTCCTCAGAGGGTGGATCCCGAGAAGGGGACTGGAAGCACAGTGGGGAGCCTTGAGTTGCTAGGTTTGCTCAGGGTCTCAGAAGCTCTGGTGCGTTAAGAGTGGGGAGCAGTTAGACAGGCGTAAGAAGAGAAGGTACCTTGCCCCCACCGTAAGGCCTGTGCCTGGTGGTCTGTGTGCCTCAAGGTTCCTGCCCTCTGCCCTGCTGCCCTCAAGGTGCCCTCAGCCCTGACTCACCTTGCCAGGTGCACACATGGTCCCGTCCAGCGGGGGGCCCTTCTTGGTCTTACAAAAGTAGGGGTTGTCAGGGTGGCTGCACCACAGCTGCTTACAGGGGTCAAAGGTCCGGAACTGGAAGAGAGCACCAGCAGCTTGGCAGGTCACTGCCACTCCAGGGTACTGCCCAGGGTGCCCTGTCCCCCTCCCCTGGTTCTATAACCTGAGACACCCCGGCAGAACTGGCTCCTGTCGGCCGTGCGTGGGTGCCATGAGCTCTGTGTGATTCTGGGGTGGTGAGGACCCTGCCCACATAGTGCAGGGGCAGTGGGAGGCTGCACATCCTGTGGAGCTTGGACAGGCAGCTGGGAGCCAGTGTGCCAGCACGAGGGCTTGGTGGCCACCCTCTGGTGACTTCAAAGGGCTGTCGCTGCAGGGCCCTGTGGACCCTAGCTGACCCCCGCTGTGGGGCCCCTTCCTGGAGCCCTGGTGAAACCCCCTGCTCCTACCGGCCCGCACTCACCCCGGCCAAGCCCTCTGTCCCTGGACCTCACAGTCACTTCTTCTCTGGTCTTTCTGTGTCCTGCCCTGACAGCTCTTCCCCCAGGACTTCCCTGAGGGATTGGCTGAAACTCGGATCTGGCCATGCTGCTCCCCTGTTCAAACCTTTCCAGAGCCCCCACTGCCATGAGAATCGAGTCCACTGTGCTCCTCGGGCAGTCGCGAAAGGAGCCAGGCCTCCCGCGTCAGTGCCTGGGTCATCCATGCTCCCTGTGCGGGCTCAGGCTCGTCACCCAGCTTCAGGGGGCCTTGGTTTCCTCATCTATAAAGTGGGACTCCCTTGCTTCCTTCCTCCATGCATGCAGCAGGGACGAGCATTCAGACGCTCACAGGCACGAAAGCTCCAGCCGCTCCCCTCCGTGCTAGTGCCCGGCCCTGCGGGAGCCGCCCTGGCCCTCGGCCCTGGGCACCTGCTTCTCCGCATGCTGCGTTCTCTGCAGGCCTCTGCACACGTGACCTTCCCTTCTGGAATGCCTTCTCCTCCCACGTAGCCTTCAAAACTCACTTCTTCCTCAGGAAGCCCTCCTGACCCCTGCAGGCCTTGCCAGGCTCCCACTGTCCCTCGCTGGCCCCTGGTGACAGTCCTGTCACTTGTGTGCCTCCTGCCCAGGACCATGTCTGCACCCACCAGGCGGCTCTGGGGGCCTACTGGGTGAGCAGTGGTGGGTGCAGGGGGGTGCTGCCCCTTTTGGAGGGCCGCTCTGCCCTCCCCGGCCCCGGAGCTGCCCCGCCTGGCCCCGTCACTCACTGCAGTGCACATCATGTAGCCCAGGCCGAAGTCGAAGCGGCACTGCTCGTTCATGGAGTAGTGCAGCCCGGGGAGCTGGGGCAGCGCCGGCCAGTTGTGGGCGAAGGGGTCGTCCCGCAGGCAGTCGTACGAGCTGTGAGGAGACATGTGGGCACCACAAGCAGCTTTCAACCAGGCTGGCCATCCAGCATGTGAGGCACTGAGGACCCTTCTGTAGCTGCCAGGTGGCCTACCTGCACCCCCTGCCCTTGGCTGTGTTGCCTCAGTTTCCCTGCTGCATCTCTTGTCCTTTGTGTATTGCACAGATCCCAGAGTAGCTGCTTACTCCCTTGCCACTCAAGGCCGGGCCCCCAACAACGGGGTCTCCTCCCGGGGCAGAGTCTGCTCACGGGCCTGTCCTCTCTCCTCCCCGTATCTCAGTCGGAGGACCCTGAGCGCTTGGGCTGGACCCCGGCTCACCAGTGACTCGCGCCCTCCTAGCACTGAGCCCAGGGGTGGAGGGGCCGCGCTCAGGGACACGGTGCTACTCACTGCAGGTAGCGGCTCAGCTCTTGCTGGCTGCAGCGCGACCAGTGGAAGCGGTGGAAGGCGGCCTGCACCAGGGGCGCCATGATGCTGCCCAGGCGCACCTCATCGCCGCAGCGGTTGCCCTGCCCGTCGTGCTCCATGCCCAGCCTGCGAGGGACAAGGCAGCACGCTGGGCCCCTGCCAGTGGCCCAGCCTGCCAGCCCCACCCCACCAGGACCCTAGCAGGGTGCTCCTGCCTCTCCTGCTGACCTTGGAAGCCCGCTCTTCCTAAGCCGGGAGGCATGGACTCTCCACGGGCTACATCCTTAGAGCTGGGCACTCTGGGGGGTCGGGCCAGCAGGCAGCCCCAGGGACCCCGTCCCCAAGGAGGGGTGCTGTTCCCTGCGAGTGCAGCGGAGGCAGCGGCGCCTGCGGCTCTTAGTCTGGGGCACCTGCTCCACCCTCAGCAGTCGGCCACGTGAGGGTCCCGTCGCCGTCCCGCCCCAGGTTCAGGGGCTCGGATGGGGCTGGCACACGCACCCCGTGAGCTGCGGCTTCCTGCACCCAGCTCTCTAAGCCTGGGTGACCCCCTAAGAGGCTCAGCGACTTCTATATAAAACGGGGTGGGAGCCCCTCTGCGGGTGACTCAAATGGGGTGACGGCGCAAGGCCCTAGCTCCCGCCGGCTGCAGGCAAATCCTCCCTTCGATTTCTTTCTTCAGCAGAAAGTGGGCCTTGGGCCTGCCCTGCATAGCGCCAGGAGCACAGAACATCATATCCCAAGTGATGTCCACGCAGGCACTCCTTCCCAAGGCGCGGGTTCTTGGTGGTTCATCTGTGCCCTCCCCTTCCTCAGACCACAGGGATGGCCAGACCACTTACACGTGGCCGGTCTCATGGGCTACCACGAACGCCGAGGAGAAGCCATCCTCATGGTTCAGGGTGCAGCTGCGGACGGGGTGGCACATCCCGGTGACAGGAGCATAGCCTGGGAGGAGACAAGAGGCGGCTCCAGCTCCCAGGCCCAGAGCCCAGCTGAGGCAGCCCTAACCCTGCCGCAGCCCACACGGTGGGTAGTGGGGTCCTGGCCTCACTCCCAAGTGCTGCTTCTCCTTGAGGACCCTCAGATGGCACCACTCAGAAGACCACCCAGGCAGCAGGCCCAGCCATCAGCGCCCGAGCCCGGTGACTGCCCTGCCTGTAGAGGGGCCACTTCTGAGCCGGGGTCTCACAGACCGGGGCTTGCCTGGGCCTTGGCAGCTTCCTGCTGCTGTTCTCCTCCCGCTCTCTCTGCTGGAGGCAGCCTGGCCCCGTCTGCTGGCATCACACCCTCCAAGCCACCCTCTCCGGGCACCTTCCCTGGGTCCCCCTGGTTTCTCGGGGGTCTTTGAGACAGACCCATCTCCATGACGCCAGAGGCTGCAAGGCTGTTGAGCCAATCAATAAGCCACACTGACCCAGGAAATCACACAGCAGGGGCGTGGCGGGTGGGGACCAAGAGGTCAGATCAGCTGCAGGAGGCAAGGCCAGCAGCCTGTGGCAGGCCAGGGTCAGGGGAAGGTGTCTGAAGGTCATGGTGCTGAGACCCTGCATAAAACCAAGGAGACCAGACAATGGGATCTAGCTCTATGCCCCAGTTCTAGTCTCAGCAGAGGGAGGCGGCTCGGACAAGCTAGAAGCGGCTGAAACGGGCACAGAGCTGAGATGAAATGAGGGGCCTCTGCTTATACCCCTGGGAGTCTTCCTGGAGGCCAGCCAAGCATGCAGCCCCAACTCTCAGAACCCTAACCTCCCCTACTCCTGCCACACCCCATGGCAATGTGCTCAAAGAGAAAAACAGAGAAGAAAGGCAGGCAGGCCACGGGACCTGAGCTGTGCTGGCTTTTACACTTTTCTGTAAAAATAGCACCATTGCAATCTAATTGTTGTCTTGTCCCCTGGGAATAAACAGGAAAATCTATATGTTTTGCTCTGTAGATTTTGAAACAATTGCTGAGTCGGTGAGCCAGAGCGGAAGCTTGAGGCCTTCTCTTCGCCCGCTGTCGCAGAGCGCCCATGTGGACGCCTTGGCGCCAGGGTGCTATGCATCCTGCTTAGCACGGCATGAGTCTGTACGACTTGAAAAAGTGTCTTTTTCTTTTTTTCCTCCCCTTTTATTTTGGGGTTCTCTCTTTCTGGAATCTTACTAGATACATGTTGTACCTGCTGGATTGCCCCTCTAAGTCTCCTAACTTTTCTTTCATCTGAACCTTTTTTTTTTTGCTCGAAATTGAGAGATGCTCTGCACTTTTGAATTTTTTATCCATCATGTCCTTAATTTCATACTTATTCTCTAATTCTTCATAGCAATCTATTCTGGGTTTATGGGTGTACTTTCTCAAACATTCTGGGAATATTACTTTTTAAATATTCTTTTCCAGTCTCTAAATTATCTCTATTTCCTCTGAAGTCAGTTTTTAAGCTTTTTGTTTTGTTTCTATCTTGGGCCATCTTTTCCATGCTGTAAGTTTGTTGTTTTTTTTGTTTTGTTTTGTTTTGTTTGTTTAAATATCTGGTAATCCTTGTCTTTCCTGTCACATTTTTACAGGAAGGATCCAGTCACTTAATGTAAAATTTGTGTGGATTTCTTCTCCTATGGGGCAGTTTGCCTTATAACCCATTAGAACTCTCACCCAGACAAAAGAGCTGAAAGAATGCTCTGATCACCTATCAGTTGGCTGCACTGCATTTGAAGGGGAGCTATTTTCAGCCTTTGAAATGTAAACCATTCTATAAAGTGTGTCCAGTATCTCATTGTGGTTTTAACTGCATTTCCCTTATATCTACTGAGATTGAGCACCTTCTCATATATTTGCTGGTTAAGAGCCTGATAAAGTCTCCTGGTCATTTTTCTAATGGATTATTTGTATTTTATTATTATTATATTATTTTTAGGAGTTCTTCATATGCTTCAAATATAAGTCCTTTTATAGATATATGTATTATAAATATTTTCCCCCAACAGATTAATAGTACCTTTAATGAACAAAAGTTTTTAATGTTAATACAATACTACTTATCAATCTTTTCCCTTGTGTTAGTGCTTTATATCTCTTTTTAAAGAAAATTTATCTTATTCCAAGAATATGGAGATATTCTTCTATATTATCTTCTTCAATTTTATTATTTTACCTTTCATATTTAGATCTAAAATCCATGAGATGTTCTGTGTGTGTGGAGTAAAGTAGAGGTGTCAGAATTCATTTCTTCTCCCAGTTTGGATAATCAATTGACCCAACATCATTTGTCTAAAAGACTGTCTTACCTCGCTACTCTGAAGTGTCACCTTTGTAATAAAGGAAGTGCTCATGCATGCATAGGTTCAATTCTGGACTCTGCATTCTTGCATTCTATCTATCCTTGCATCAAAATTGTACTCTATTATATTTTCATAAGTATTGAATACTTTGCTCTTCTTCAATTGTTCTTGGCTATTCTTAGCCCATTGCATTTTTATATTAATATTAGAATTAACTTGTCAGTATCTTCAAAATATTCTGCTGGAATCAAACATTGGGGTGCACTGGAGTGTAGCTGCATTGACTCTATAGATCACTTTGGAGAAAACTGATATCTTTATAATTTTTGTTTTATTTTGTTTTGAGACAGGGTCTGGCTCTGTTGCCCAGGCTAGATGCAGTGGCATCATCACAAACCACTGAAACCTCAAACTTCTGCGCTTAAGCAATTCTTCTACCTTAGCCTACCAAGGAACTGGTATTATAGGTGCATGCCACCTTATCTGGTTAATTTTTAAAAAATCTTTTTTTGTAGAGACAGGGTGTTGCTATGTTGTCCAGGCTTATCGTGAACTCAGCCTCAAATGATCCTCCTGCCTCAGCTTCCCAAAGCACTGGGATTATAGGGCATAAGCCACATCTGCCCAATATCTTTACAATTCTGAGTCTCCCTATCTATAAGCATGATATATCCCTTTCTTTGCCTAGTATTTTATAATTTCCCTCAAAATGTTTTAGAATATTCTGGTTTAGGTCTTAGACCTATTTTGTTAGACTTATTACTAGGCATTTTCTGTTTTCATTCGTTCCTGTCCGGGCGCTCTCCCAGTGGCGGGTGTGCCGCGTGGCCGCCCACTGCACTCGCAGGGCGCACGCTCTCGGGCCTGCCGCAGCCGCCTGCTGGCGCCGGCCGGGCCAAGCTGCTTCATTCCAATCTTCTCTGTCTTTACCTCTTGTTGCATTAGTCGCTAAGAAGTGTGTTAGCATCCTCAATTGTGATTGTAGACTTGCCAATTTCTTCTTCTAGATCTGTCAGTTGTATATAGTTTGAATCCTTATGTAGAAATCTCTAAACTTTTAAGGATTAGCAACTTGTTCAAGTTGTTTTCTAGAAACTAGAGGAAGCGAGTAACTGCGAAGCGCAGCCTCAGAGCCTGGCTGGTCTCTGGGCTGCCAGGCCAGACTCTGCTGATTTCACCACCTCTGACCCCCCGGACCTAGGAATGCAGTTTCTGGGGGCCCTGCTGCTGTTCCAGGGCCAGGAGGTCACTGGCACTGAACCCGATGCTCACCCAGCGAAGGTGGCCACAGCCCCTTCCTGCCTCCACACTCTTCCTGGGCTGAGGCTGTTGGGCCCTCACAGCCCCACTCTGGCTTCGCTCCCCTCTCCGGCCCTGCAGGGCGGGGCTCACCTTGCATGCCAGAAGGCCCAAAGTCCTGCCGTGTGAGGAAGATGGCGTGATCGTGGTATTCCTCATGGCCTGTGTCAGGCTTCTGCTGCAGGTAGGCCCAGCGGCAGACGTTCTCCAGGCTCTGAGAGGGGTTCCCAATCTCGATGAGGCTCATGGACTGTAGGGGTTGGGGAGAGAGGAGAGAGGTTGGCATCTGGTGGACTAGTTGGGGGCTGAGCAGGGTGCAGTGGTGACAGACCCCATCCACTGGGGAGTGGTCCAAGTGGCACTGGGCACCATGCCCCACTACCCTCAGGACCTGCCTCCCACTAGGTTGCATCTGTCTGAATGGAAGGAAACATTCCCCAGCCACACTCAGCCACGCGGGCCTCCACACAGAGTCGCCGCACAGGGTTCAGGTGAGATGTGGAGGCAAAGCTCCGCGGTCAGCTGAGGCCTCCCGGAGTCCACTCGCCCGGCCATTTCCAGGAGTTCCTGCGTTCTGTTAGGCACCTGTTTGGGAGGCCCTGGACAGGAGGTGAATGTGGTGTGGACCTCACCCCAAAGAGCTCACAGTTCTGGGAGGGTCCAGCCTTGGAAGATAGACATCCCAAAATGGCATGTAGGCCCCGAGGAAGCAGGAGATAATCTTACATTTCCTCCATTTGAAGGTATTTTCAGAACCCAATAAATGGAGGAAAAGAAACTGAAAAAAAGAAACTGCTATAGCAAAGGAGCCATACCAAGAACGGGCATAAATAGGCCACCCCACAGGAACCATGGATAGGAAGCCCCAGGAACAACCACATCCCCTGTGTGTCATGACACACACCTGCGAGCCAGGGCTGGCCTGGGGACACCTGCTTGGCACCATGACGTCAGCAGACACACTCATTTACTTTTCTTTGAGATAGGGTCTAACTCTGTCACCCAGGCAAGAGTGCAGTGCATCATGGCTCACCACAACCTCAAATTCCTGGACATAAGCTATCCTCCTATCCTCAGCCTCCCAAACAGGTGGACTACAGGTGGGTGCCACCACACCAGGTTAATTTTTGTAGTTTTTGTAGAGATGGGGTCTCGCTCCTGCTTAGGCTGGTCTTGAACTCCTAGCTTCAAACAATCCTCCTGCCTCCCAAAGTGCTAGGATTACAGGCGCCAGCCACCACACTCAGCCTCTCATTTAGTCTTTAGGACTAAGAGGGAAGTCCTGGACAAGAAACTGAGGCTCAGAGAAGTTAGGTAACTTGCCCCTGGTTACATAAGCAGGAAGTGGAAGAATTGAGATCTGAACCCAGGAAGCCTCAAACCAAAATCTATATTCAGCCACTGCCCTAAACCGCCTTCCCAGATAAAACACGGACCATGTTGTCTTTGTGAGTGGCACATGTCCCAGTCTGTGATCCTCATGGCAGGCACTGGTTTCTGTTCTCACCACTACTCCCACCACCGAAGTAGTTTCCTCCAAGAGACCTACGAGCCCCTCCAACAGCCCTGGGCACACCCTTTTCTCTTTAACAATTTATCTGTCTATAAAACAGAGATGCACACTCCTCAGTAAATATGCACGCAGGTGTTCTATTTCTTCTTTTGCATAAACATACATGAAGTACAGCCACATATTTCTCTTTGTGTGTATAAGTATCAAAAGGCCAACATAGGATATTGCTAGTAAGCCGGGTAGTTCCAGAAGAAGGAAGAAAGGTCGAGGCCAATGGAGGCAAGTCCCATGTGCTATCCACGTCCGTGGTTCACAGGACGGCAGAGCGGCTCCACGGCCCAGGCACAGAGCCAGCGGGGAAGACTGTCTCTGGCTCCTGGGAGACGAGGCTGCTCGCTGTGACAAGGTGTCAGCATGTCCCAGTGGGGAAGTCACAGACCAGAGTGAGCCAGCTCGTGACCAGGACCTGCTGGACACTGGCTCAGTGATGGACTGCCCAGGGGAAGCTGCAGGTGGGGGTTGGGGGCACTTTTTGCCCCCCATGACTGATAGGAGCATGTGACTAGCTCTGGCCAATGAGCTGTGAGCCAAAGTGGCACAAGTCTGTTCTGGGCGGAGCGTTTAATTGCCCGCTGAGACCCTCCAGCAAGCACTCCCCTCTGGCATGTGGTCTATTGGCACTGAGATGGTAGCTGCTCTGCCACCTAGACCCCTGAGTGACAATGACACCGGAATCCTCCGCCAAGTCACAATAGACACACGGCATGGGCAGGAACTCAATCTTTGTTGTGTTAAGTCAATGGGATGTAAGCTCGTTGGTTTCGGCAACATAACCAGAGTGGGCAGCGTGACTTGCCACTCTGGCTCACGCAAGAGGCCCTGGTTCTGAAGAGGGGGCAGATGAGAGGATCTGCTTTCTCAAGGCTCCAACTCGAGAACAGGTTTTGAGTGTCAATGAGAAGGAAGGGACCCATGGGTGGGTTTGCTTTGGGCTAAAGTTTGGGGCCTTGTGGTTGGCCGAGCTTCATATTGCCAGCCCAAGTATGGATGAATTTGGAGGCCATTATGTTAAGTGATATGAGCCAGGCACAGAAAGACAAATAACCACATGTTCTCATTCACGTGTAAGAGCTAAAACCGTGGGTCTGGTAGATGAAAAGAGTAGAAGAGTGGTTACTATCGGCTGGGGAGGGGACAGAGAGCCCGAAGGCGGCTGCTGGACACGGAAGCACCGCTGGCGGGAGGAGCAGATCCCAGCGCCCTGCAGCACCGCGGCGCTGCCATTAGCAGTTTAGTGCGCACAGTCGCACAGCTAGAAGAGCAGACTGTGAATGTTCCCAATACAAAGACATGATAAACATTCGAGGTGATGGATGTGCTGATTACCTTGATTTGATCATTCCACATTGTATACATGTATGGAAATATCACACAGTGCCCTATAAATATGTACAAGCATTATCTATCAATTAAAAATAATAACGAAGTCCAAAAAAATCAACTCAAACAAGAATTAACTTTTAAAATAAAATTTTAAAAAATTGCCAGCCCAGACCCAAATCAGAAGGTCAGCGCTAAGGTCACTGACCACCACTCTCCCTAGCATGGCCGCAGAGCGCGCCGGCGTGCAGCCCTCCACAGCGCCTCGCTGGGCCTGGCTGCCTCCAGGGCACGGCTCCCAGCCCGAGGCCAGGAGATCCCTGCAAGACGAGCCTGCCTGCCCACAGGGCTCTGCGTCTCCTGTGCTCGGACAGACGGTTCTGGTCCGCCCTGCCCCTCCCTCCCCGGTAGGCTACGGCGGCTTTTGCCTGCCCTGTGCTCCCTGTCGTGAAACACCCCTCCTTTCATCTGGGCCAGACCCCAGGCTTCAGGGGTGGCGGGGCCCCGGCCTGGCCAACGCAAGCACCACACCCTCCTGGCCACCGTGATGGTCCAGGGAGAACACTCAACACAGCAGGCCAGGGAGTTGACAAGGCAGGAGATGTGGGCCACAGCTTCTGGGCCCTCCGCACCCCAGGAGGAGAGGCCTCCCCCCAGGACAAAGCCCCCACAGAGCACAGCTGGGCCCAGAGGTGAAGATAGAGCATTCCTGGCATCCTCACACCAGCACCTGGGTTCATCCAAGCCTGAAGGCTGCTTACCATGAGTCTGTGTGTTGTCTAGCACAGCATAACAAATTACCCCAAGACTTGACAGCCAAAAAAACAAACGCTAATCATGTCACAGTCTCCTTGAGTCAAGGATCCAAAAGCAACTTAGCTGGGTTCCTCTGGCTCAAGGTCTCTCAGGAGATTGCTGTCCAGCTGAGAATGGGGCTGCGGTCTCATCTGAAGGCTCCACTGAGGGAGGCTCAGCTCCAAGCTCGCTCATTGGTTATGGGCTGGACTCTGTTCCTCAGTGGTTGCAGGACTGACAGCTTCTCACCACACCATGTGGGGCCTAGCCCTAACCCTAGTGCAGCTCACCATGTGTCATCAGCACGTGTGACACAAGTGACTGCCAGAACACAAATGCACCTCCAGGACAGAATGCTTATGACCTAATCTCAGTCCAGCCCACACTCAGGGTGAGGGTACTACACCAGGGCATGAGTACCAAAAGACAGGGTCACTGGGCGCCGTCTTAGAGGCTGCCTGCTGCAGATATGTCTCATTTATGCATCAAGAAATTCCTCTTTGTGTGAAGGCCAATTCTGAGTCCTGTTTTGTCACTAAGAGGGTCTGAACAATACCCTCTTAGTGACAATCCTCCTAGGAGGATCCCTGGTCAAGGCACTGGCTGGCAGGTGAGCGATGGTGGCTGGGCTCGGGGCAGCTGGCATGTCCTACACCAGTGGGAGAAGAGCTGGGGCCAAGTCTCTGAGTTGGGAGCCCAGCCATCAGGACACACCCCGTGTCAGGACCAGAAATAGGAACAAGGCCATCAGGTAAAGCGCAGAGCCAAGGGCAGGAGCCAGGCTGACCCAGGGTAGGGACGATCTGGCAGAGGGTGTGCGGACAGGCCGCTGTCCTTGGTGGGCAGACTGTGGGATGTTCTGGGAGGATGTCACTAACCCAAGTGCTTACAGGGGCAAGGCAGGTGACACAAGTCAGTGAGGCAGGTTGGTTCTGAAGGGCAGAGGGTACAGAGGAATATTTCCCTACGATGCTGAAGAAGGTTGGCAGGTGCTAAGGCGTGGCGAGGGCCGCAGCAAACCCAGGGGCCGCACTCAGGAGGAGGGGTGGGGCCCGCTCGGAGCAGCGGGACAGAAGCCTGGGGCTGCCGGACTGGAAGCCTCAGGCCAAGCATTACGGCTGGAGCCTACAAGGACGCTCACTGATAGTGCACATGGCTCGACAAAACAAAGCACATGCCCAGGTCCCCAGCTGGAGACTCCTAGAATACAGGGCCTCGAGGGGACAGCCCCTTCTCCGTGCCCTGCAGACTGGATGACTCTGGCCCATGCCCCTTTCCTCCATGCGGCTGGGCTTCCCAAACCCTCGTGACAGCCAAAGTGATCTTGCTGCTGCGGCAAGATAATTCATTGAAGTATTGATTTGTGTTTTTGTTCTTGCCTTATTTTGTTCTCCGCCCATTGCAAGAGGGCAACTGCCACTTGTCTTCTCCAGCCCCAGTGGAGTTTGTACAAGATCCAGAGCTGGAGTGACCTAGGACCCCCTCCCGGCTTCTGGGCTCTGAGGGGACCCCCAGGGCAGGTGCTTTGGGAGGCTGGGGGTTTGGGCATTGGCGGGGGAGGC